TCTTAAAGGCAGAAAGACGACTGAAAAAGAGCTAACTTACCGGTACCCATCGTCCTCCGTCTTCTTGTTTCTCAACGATATAATTAGTAATTGGAGAACCACCATCATCTTCAGGAGGATTCCAGCGAAGGGAGCAACTGTCCTTCGTGATGTCTTTTACAGATAGTGGGCCCTCCGGGGCTCCGGGAACATCTGAAAATATTTACTTTTCCGATGATCCATATGCCAAAGTAACTATGTATACAAGCTTTTGATTATTTCTGTTATAAACGCTCAGCCTACCTAGAACATTGACGTCGACCTCAGCCTCGTCACGTCCATTGTCATTGGTCGCTACGATCTTGTACTTGCCGCTATCTGCTCTAGCTGCATCTTTAGTATCTAACTTGGTGTTGTTGTCATTAGTATTGTCAATTTTTGTCTTTCCAATTGATTGAATGGGTTGTCCATTCAAGAACCATTCAATCTTAGGCGTCGGCTCGCCTTCCACGTTTACATCAAAGCTAATGGTCTGTCCTGCCTTAATACGTAAATCGCCAAACATGTCTCTGTTGATCTTTGGAGGCAGATTTCTTGGCTTAGCAATCATTGCCTTGCTAGGATCCGATGGACGTGACTCTCCAGCTTTGTTCAACGCTTTAACACGGAACTGGTAGGTTTGTCCTGGTCTAAGGTTCTCTACAGTAGCTTTCTGTTCATCTCCTGGCACTGCCGCAACTTTCGTTGCAGGAAGCCATTCACCATTTCCAGCTTTCATCTCAATCAGATATTCCTCAATCGGTGCTCCACCATCATCTATTGGTGGTGCCCACTTGAGATCCGCACGGTCTTTGTCCCAATCAACAATCTCAGGAGTACCAGGCTTATCGGCAAGTTCGTATGGATCTTTGGCAATTATGGCCTGGTTCGCTTCGAGTGGATCGGACTCACCATAACGATTCACAGCCTTGACGCGGAACTAAATAATAATATTGGAGATTTAAAAGCACTATAAGAAGAGAAGAATTTGTGTGCTATTACAAACCTTGTATTCGTGACCCTGAACAAGGTCGTCGACGTGGAAAGTCGTATCCTTACTTTCTCCACAATTTGTCCATCTACCAGTGTTGGCATCCTGTTTTTCAATGACGTAATGATCGATGGCGGCTCCTGCAGATATGGATAGTTTTCAGTTATTCGGTTTTGTTGTGATAGAGGTTCTGCCTTGGCATAAGAAATCGTTTTTTGAAAGTAAATTCTCGTTATATTCTGGGTACGAGAGACAGATCTAGTGTAGCAAATTGCTTCTTTTAGTATATAAAAACCAAAAGTTGATCAAAGAAATCAGATTACCTCCATCATCATCTGGAACTTTCCAGGCCAAATCGCATCCTTCTTTGGTCACATTGCTAACATCCAGAGGTCCGCGAGGTGTTCCAGGGTGGTCCAATACGATCACCTTTACTTCAGCTGTGTCTGTTCCATTTTCATTCTTAGCGGTAATTGTGTAGATTCCGGCGTCGGAACGAAGAGCTCGCTTTACCAAGAACTTGGTCTGCAATAACGAGCAATAAAATTCGAAAAACCAAAGTAATTAAGAAAAACAACCTTGTAATCCTCGCTATTATTAATCTTTATGCGGTCATCCGTTTCTACTGGAGCGTCTGCGAATGTCCAGGTGATTTCTGGTGGTGGTTCTCCTGAAACTGGTACGACGAGGTGTATTTCCTGCCCTGCCCGCACTTTTATCTCTCCTAGTGCCGAGCGGTCGATCTGGGGAGGAACTGGAAGAAGAACATTTCAGCTATAGATGTCAATTGCAATATAAAAATGAAGTTACCATTTCTAGCCTTTGCTTTGACCATCTGCGAAGGATCCGATGGATCGCCAGTACCAGCCTTGTTCTTAGCGCGAATACGAAATTCGTATTCATGCCCTTCGATAAGATTTCCAACCGTGGCCGTTGTTTGGCCTGCCGGCACCTGTAATTAGAAACTAAGATTATATATCTCGAATAAAGGATGAATGCAGTTTATTACCTGAGTGGCCTCAGACCAGAATGGTGAATCTTTGTCCTTCATTTCGACAATATAACCTTCAATGGGAGCACCACCATCGTTTACTGGAGGGTTCCATGCGAGGTCCACATGGTCCTTGTCCCAGTCGGTAACTTCCGGTGCACTAGTCTTGCCTGGCTTATCGAAAGGATCTTTGGCTAATGTTGATCCAAATGTTTCCAGTGGGTCAGATTCGCCTTCAGC